GCGCAATATGCACGTGCCAAAATCTTGTTGAGAAACATGAGGCAGACGCAAACCACATAGGGCAGGTTTGATCATTACTTGTTCGCTTTTGTGTAGCAGACATGAAAGTATGACGAAGTTTCTGAATGATTCAGAAATTCTCTTTGATGTGTTATTTATTGTTATTACGTCGACGATGTGGATCGTATATAGTGTGTGTGTGTGTGTGTGTGTGTGTGTGTGTGTGTGTGTATGTGTTTGTGTGTGTGCTTGTTTGTTTGTTTGGTGAGTGTTTAACGGCGCCCGCAACTGCATAAGGTCATATGAGCGAGTGGGACACATTGAACATTTTCAGTTGGCAGGGAATTCTGAATTCTGCCTGGGTGGCGGCCAAGCCTGTTTTTATCCATTTTGGTCCACCAATGGATCTTTAAAGTGCACAACTTGCCCTCCCCTCCAGACTGCCGAGAATTTTCGCCTTAATCCGAGAAGGCTAGGTGTATAATATTGCCTACCGTAAGATCAGGGATGTGGCTGAAAGACAGCAGTGAGAAGGAGCCAAGGCGTAGCAGTACAAAGGCTACAGAAAGGGTCAGGAGTTCAAAGAAGAGGGCAAAGGATGTGAGGGGGTGGGGGCAGACTACAGAATGTTGTTAGAAAACAAGAAAGGGTGTGAAAGCAGAACATTTCAGAGAAGAAAATGTTCCATCACTATCCGGATTCGAACCCGGGACCTATTGAATGAGAAGCAAACGCCTTAACCGCTAGACCACGAGAGCCCCTGTGCGTGCGCGCGTACGTGTGTGTGGGTATGTGTGTGTATGTGTTTTGTGTGCGTGTGTATGTGTGTGTGTGAAGGATTGAACCAATAAATGAGAAAATTGTTTCCCAAGAAAACAACGTCGGACCAAGCCGAGCTTCGAACCCTCGAACCACCTAACTACCGACGCCACATCCCCACCCCAGGTCTGTCTAGATTAGATGTCTACAAAAAGCTTACTTATCTGCCTGAGTGATTGCACGTACACCAGTGTTAATAATAAAATGATTGTGTCGCTAACTGTTGACAATAAACGACTGTAGTGTAACGGAAAGGCTCGTTCGTTGTCTTTAAAGGCTTTACTTCCATAACGAAAGAGATTGTGCAACTGTCGACAACCAATAATCGAAAAGCTATTTCGTCGTCTTTAAAGGCTTTACTTTCATAACAAAAGCGATTGTGCAACTGTCGACAACGAATAACTGAAAAGCTATTTCGTAGTCTTTGAAGGCTTTACTTTCATAACAAAAGCAATTATATTATTGTGCAACTGTCGACAACGAACCACTGAAATGGTCTTTCGTCGTCTTTAAAGGCTTTACTTTCATAACGAAAGCGACTGTGCAACTGTCGACAACGAACGACTGAAATGGTCTTTCGTCGTCTTTAAAGGCTTTACTTTCATAACGAAAGCGACTGTGCAACTGTCGACAACAAACGACTGAAATGGTCTTTCGTCGTCTTTAAAGGCTTTACTTCCATAACGAAAGCGATTGTGCAACAGATGACAACGAGCTCCTGTTGTGTGACGGAAAGGCTCCTCATCGCCTCTCATAGAAGGCGGAAGTTCGATTCCCGTGTAGGGAAGTTATTTTGTCGAGTATCTATTCTGTTTCATTCTGC